GGTCGACGAACACGTGAAGTGAACGAGTGAGGCGGCGTGGGCTGCTCCAAGTGCCCAGCCACCTAGCCCCAGCGTCTGTAAGCGTGCTCGTATCTCAGAATACTTGTATGTCGGGGCGCTCGTATCTCGAGGTTCCACTGTATATACATTGATTTTTCATATTGCAATACTACGCCATGAGGGCAAACAATTTCAAAATGCCAGAGTTAGTAATCAGTGTTAATCAAAAATGTTAAAGGCAAATATTATAACTTCAGCTTTTACAATTAGATTTTGCTGCTGACTGTTTACACTAAAATGAAACATAGATTTACCTATAAGACCCAGAAGGAATAGCTGGCCTTGAGAACCGATGGATCGATTAAATTGTGATTTTTGGTGAGACGGTATATCAACACAAAATTTGAAGTTGCTCATAAACTTATCGTGTGATTTTTTTTAGACAATGTGCAACCAACCAGTATCTGAGAAAGAAAGATGACCCTCATCGATACTGTCAGGGCGCCTGCGCTGATGTCACCCGCTGTGGGCCCATTGTCGTCCCGCAGCACCACATGCAGGTCAAGAAAAGTTCCCGTACATACAATTTAACGTTAAAATTGTCTTGTTGATTTGCATTGATGCATTGCATGTGATAAGAATTATTTATTAGGATAAAAATAAAAATACATTTGAAATGACCTGGATTTTCTTTTTCTACTTTTCTGTTTTTTTTTTTTTTATTCTACACAGCAATGTAAAGTGTGTAGTGAGTCTGGAAAGTCCTGTGGCCCCATGGGGCCCCCTGATGGTCCTGGAGTGGAAGGCGCCGACTTTGTTCTATATGTCAGCGGTGTGACCACAGAGCGGTGCGGTCAGGAGAACATTGTTGCCTACGCCGCCTACTGTCAACTGGAGGCTGAGTTTGACAGGTATGGACTGACACTGTAACTACTATGAGTCTAGTGACTAAAGATGCATTCATTTTTTTTTATTAAAAGAAATAGTTCTCAGGCGGAGGAGCAGTTGCGCTTTTGGCAGAATTGAAATATGTCGGAATAAATTTAACGTGTTTTTTTGACACTGTGAAAAAAAAACAAAAAACTTTTATTTAAAGTGTGTCTCGCGACAGACTCGTCACGAAAACACAATTTATTAATTTATTAATTAATTTATTAAATCAACAAGAACAAAAACCTGCACAAGAGACCAGAAACATAACATATTTATGGAACTAAATATACATATAAATATATATATATATATATATATATATATATATATATATATATTTAGCATATATTTGTAACTATCTGCCAATCAGAAATCCTGGAAGGCCTCGTTATTGGTAATTTATTGCATAGCCAAGAATCGTGTACAATGGAATGATGGCTTTCTCTGTGTGGAAGTCCATTGTAGTAATAAACCTTTACATTTTAAGGGATTTAAATAAAATTTTTCTTTTTGTACTGCTAAACAATAATATGCAAATAATTTAATATTGATTACCAATGACCCGACCTGGAGGTCGTAGGGCATTAACAGAATTCAGAACGCGTCAATCTTTCCTCTTAATGAATTTATTTTTTTTAAGTCAACAACATCATATTTTTAATAAAACAAATACTTTGCAGCATACCAACGATTACAATGTTTATTTTCTCCTAAATAAGAATCGGTTTGTATGTGTGTATGTGTGTGTGTGCGCGCGTGTTTTAGGCCAGTAGCGGGCTATGCAAACCTGTGTCCTTCCATGATCTCATCTCAACCTCAGGAGTTTGAAGGAATGTTGTCAACAGTCAAACATGAGATAGTCCACGCTTTGGTGAGTCCTGAGGTTATTGATAGCGACCAGCATTTTTTTTTTTTTAATTCAATTAGATGCCAGTTACTTTTTTTGGTCTCCCCCGGGCCACACAAAACGGCCCGGCGGGCCGCATTTGGTCCCCGGGCCTTGAGTTTGACACATATGTTCTAGATACTAGTATCAATACTTTGTGTCATTTATTTATTTAACCCAATAAAACGCATAACAAATACTGGCAATACAACAACTTTAATGTGAAAATTAAACAACTTTAATTTTCCATAACATTTTACTCATAACAAATCACGTTATTTCCAAACAATGTCACCTTTATGGTTAAATCGCTACCTTTAAGGGACAAAGATGTCTAGTGGACTTGATCACATAGAGTCGCTGCCCTCTTCTGGTCACTGGTCGCATGACATGAATGGACCCCTTCAATTTTTACGTTACCTGTGGGTGTTGCGGCACAAATGCCTGTATGTCATAAGTTATCCTCAAAGATATGGAAGTCAGACATGCGCTTTGTTCATACGATAATAGATACCGATATTTCACCAGAGTAATCGATACTCATGTCCCCATCTCTCGGAATCGATCCTCCCATCACTGCAGAGGATGCACCATCAAAACATCTTGAAATGATCTTTATGTAATCGTTTCTGTTTCCTATTCCTAAGGGTTTTTCAGCAGGTTTGTTTGCCTTTTACCACAATGACGAGGGGAAACCTCTGACACCGAGGTTCGCTAGTGGGCTGCCTGCCTTCAACGAGACGTGAGTACTATTGGATTGGCTGTTCTGTTGTGCGGATGCCCCCCCCCCCCCCAACCCCCCGTTGCATCTTTTCTGCTGCTTCATTTGAAATGAATGTGCTAGGAGACCATCACGGATGATCATGATCACTGAAAAAAATGAATGTTAAAACAATTAATTAAGCTTATTTTAACAATCTTGTCCCCATATATTTGTGTGTATCTGTGTCAGTCTGGGTCTGTATCAGTGGAGCGAGTCAGTCATAAGGATGGTTAGTAGACTCTGGGACGTCAGAGGAGGACTAATGGTTCGACACCAAGTTCGTGTCCTAGTCACTCCTCGTGTGGTGGTGAGTTGCGACTCAAACTGAAAACACATTTTTTTTTTTTTTTTTTCCTATCTACTTCGTTGCCAAAACCACAGGGATTGTGTTACAGGAAACACTTGTGATTTATCCTGGACAGGGTCTTTGACTGCCCAATCCTGGAAGGAATGGAGTTGGAGAACCAGGGAGGAACTGGTACTGAGCTGAACCACTGGGAGAAGAGATTATTGGAGGTAGAGTTTTACACTATTCTTTCAAACCTGCTGTTGATGGGTGTTTTTTTTTTGTTTTTTTTTACCTAAAATATAAAAATTTTTTTTTGTCTTTCAGAATGAGGCAATGACTGGTTCTCACACTCAGAATAGAGTGTTCTCACGTCTGACTCTGGCAATCATGGAAGACTCCGGCTGGTACCGAGCCAACTACAGTATGGCCCAGAAACTGGACTGGGGCCGAGGACTGGGCTGTGACTTTGTCATGAAGAGCTGCAAGTTCTGGATGGACAAACAAAGGCAAAGGTAGCTAGATCTGAGTTAAAGAAGAAGAAAGGCAAGCAGGGGAAACTTTGAAAGCAACATTAAAAAAAAAAAGAATAAATAAGTGCCAGAAAACTGAAGTTGGTGAACAAAAAAAAAAGTTTTCCTACACCAAACTCCAAACATAATCGGTCATCCTAGCTCACAGGACTGAAGCAGTTGATGAACTACTGTTGCCTTGATCACTCTCTTTAAGCTCAAGTTCAGGAGGAGGCAGGAGAAGACCAGCTCTTGTATCCTGTTGCGAATGGTGAGTTAGTGGGTGCAGTGGTGGCTTAGTGGTTAAGGAAGCGGCCTTAGGTTTGGAAGGCTTCAGGTTTGAGTCCACCAGCTGCCAATTTACCACTGAGGTGCTCTGAGCATGGCGCCACCCCAGTTGCTTATAGCTGCCCACTGTTCACTTTGGTGATGGGTTAAAAGCAGAGGTCACATTTGGTTGTGTGCAGTGGCGTGCTGTGTCCCAATGACAAGTAGTTCACTTTCAAATGTTCCCTGTGTCTACAATGATTTGTAGACAAAACGACAGCATCTGTTTTTAAGAACATCATTATTCCTTTGTGTTGTGTTAAGAATTTTTTTTTTTTTTCCGTCTGTTTAGACGACACGCTGTGACACCGTTTTGTGACACGGTACGAGCATCTCCGCTGCAGCTCACCTGCAGACAAGACCAGTTGGCCGTCGCTGTTTGTAACCTGCAGAGGTTCAANNGGGTTCAAGGGGGGGCTTCCACTGGACTACCAGGTACGGACGAGTTCACGCGCTTTCACGACTTGTGGAAATGCCCAGTTTTAAAAAAAAAAAAAGAAAAGAAAGGAGTTGAGTTCAGTCTATTTACTTGTGACAGAGGTGTTTTTTTTTCTTTTTTTTTTCTGTGTGGTTCAGTACTTTGAGCGTATTCCAGACGTCTCCTCCGATCAGCTCTCCTTCTTCGGCGGAGCAGTGGAGATTGCGGATTACTGTCCTTTCAGTCAGGAATTCAGTTGGCACCTCAGTGGAGAATATCAGAGGAACTCATATTGCAGGCTATCACAGAACCAGCCAGGTATGCCACAAAATCACCCACAAATGCGCACACTGACACATACCGGCACATGCTAACAAACAGGTAACCAGCCAGGTACCGCAAGATGACTTGTTACAACTTTTTCATGCCCAATACTCAAACTGCAATTAGGAATATCTGCCGACACTGATATCAATTTGATACCTTCTCTCCTCTTCCAGCATGCTGTGGGCTGCCATTTCTGAGGCGATATTGTACCTGTTTATGGCATTTTGCGCATTTTTGCAAGCTAATGTTAGCTTCGGCCCTGGAACAGATCACTAAGTCTCCCCTTTGCATTTCAACTACGGTTGGGGCACCGAAAGAGTTTACGTGTAACCAGCAGTGTTACAAAGCACTGTTTTGAAAAAAAAAAAAATTATTTAATTAACAGTGAATTTTTAGTACGTTTTTAGTTAGAAAACTTCCAATCCAACATTAATAAATAGAGCTTTAATAAAAACAAATGTACCTCATCTGCCCTTGTATCATGCGTCCACCGAAGTGGCCACATTATTTTTAATGTTGCTCAATTGTCTGCTGACAGCTTGTAGGTGCGTGCTTTTCATTGTTTTTATTCCACTGTCAGTGCTGCTCTCCTTAGCCAACAGGCGTATTAAAACGGTATCTGCTGCAGTGGAAGTCGCTAAGCAGATTTCTCTGAAATTCTGAGATATGCTAAGAAAGTTGTTACTTATCATACTTAGTTTTTCTTGAAGAGGAATCTTTTTTTTTTCTTTTTTGGTTCTTCAGACAGGTGGAGGAACTATGCAGCAGAGGAATATGGTCCAGAATCAGTCTGTCTGTATCAGAAGTCTGCTTTTGTGATGGAGCAGTGCAGCAGGAAGATGACGTATCCTGACTGGGGATCTGGATGTTACAAGGTGTTGACATCACACGTAACACCTTCGCCCGGGGCCCTTGGTGATTTCAGACATTCTTCAGGAGAACCTCTGTACAGTACACGTGTTTTCTGTGTATGCTGCAGGTGGCGTGCTCCTCTCAGGGTCTGATCATCTTCGTTCAGCACCAGTCCTTTCTCTGTGTGCGTAAAGGTCAGCAGATCAGTGTCAGTGTTCGGGCCAACGACTGGGTTTACAATGGCGTCCTGATCTGCCCTGCCTGCACAGATTTCTGCTCCTACTGCCTCCTTCCACACATGATTCCACCGACCAACATTTCCAGGAGCCAGCCTATTGGTCAGTGGGAACCTTTTCATCATCAAAGTCCAAAAAGTTGAGATTAGAATAGATTAGTATAAAATAGGAAACTTATCTCATCGTTGAGTTTCTCCACCAAATACTTTTGTTATACTTAGGTTCGTAAATAATATGCACACTATTTTTAACATTGTGTTTTTTTGTGTTTTTGACTGACATCATCAGTGACTTGTCAACTCTACTTCCATAACATTACTATGGCCTTGAAAAATATCTTCTTACTTACCTCTATTGTTTAGACCAGGGGTGTCAAACTCATTCTGTTTCACGGGCTGCATACAACGTGATTAGATGCCAGGTGGGCCGGACCAGTACAAACGTAACATAATTAACTATAATTAACAATGGTTTTCCTCTGTGTTTTCATAAAAAGAAGTATATTGGTTATTTAATAATCTTAATTAATTTGTAACAAAATATAATTTTACGAAAAAATTATGATCTAAACATGAAGTGTTTTTTTTGTTTTTTTTTTTCTCAAAATTCATCAAGTGGGCCAGATTGAACTACCTAGCGGGCCGGTTTCGGCCCCCGGGCCGTATGTTTGACACCCCTGGTTTAGACAGTATTTTACTTAAGGTCTTGTATATACCTGTGTGTGTGTCTCTGTTTCATATTAGGGTTTGCTGCTTTCTCTGATTTTACTGTACTATGTAGCACTCTAATTACTTTTGTACTATCAGTTGCGTACCTGTATACATTCCTCTGTGGCACATACATTTTTTTTTGACAAAAACTCTTTTTTTCTTTTAGACCCGTGTTCTGGTTGTGTAGCGGTGAGCGTCACTGGTCCGGAGCTCCTCATCGTCGAACTGTGCGTTTCCTGCGGATTGGCCTTGTCTGCAGCTGCAGCTAATACCAATACACACACAGACTCGTGTTTTAATTCCTCTCTCAGGACCTTGTTGTTTGTACTTTGTACGTTTCTTTGATCGATCAGATGTTTTGTCCTCTGTGATGTCACGTACCTTTTAGAGACAGTGTCATTTTTTTTATACATATATATATTTTAATTTCCCGACTGAACTTGTTCAATTGTAACATATTCCATTTATTTAATTTCTTTGTGAATATAGGCCACAGACCGCTGCTGCTCCCTGTTGACTCCAGCAACAACAGCACCTGTGATCAACTGCTGTTTCTGAGAGTTTGTGAGAGTGAGTGGAAGCTGAACTTAGAACAACTGTCACATCCTGGCTCTGTTGTTTTTTTTTCCAGGATTAATAAATATACAACATGCTAAAAATCTAAAGATATCCGTCTTTAGTTATTGTAAGAGAATTTCTGATTGAACTAAATGTTTGTTCTAAAAATAAAAATAATGGATTTAACTTGTTTAAATAATGACTTTGAACATTTACTAAATCTACATTACTCCTATAAAAATCATATGTAAATAATAATGAAATAGATTCAGTGTAGTACACACTGATCATAGCATTCTTGTCACCAACAGGTTAAGTAAAAAACAGTGGATTATGAAGTAGCAGCAAAAAAGCTTTAAGAAGGGATTGTCCGTTATTAACTTTTTGCCGATTTCCAGTTGCTTATATTGTCCAAACACTTTGCTTGTGTGACATTTGGTTTCTTTTTTTTGTAAAATTATTCTAGAACTTCTTTTGTGAAGAACATCTTTCCTCAACTTTTAACCTATTGTCAAAATAAATGACAAAAAAACACCTCGGCTATAAACGTTACCTCATTTAAATTTTAATTAAAAATGATTACATCACCTCGGCTATAAATTTTAAATTTTAATTAAAAATGATTACATGCTAAACTTTTTATTAAAAGCTCATTTGTTATTGAACAATTGTTAGTTTTCTATCTGTATTTTCATTTTGTTAGCTAGTGTCTTTTTTGCTTTTCCCTCTCTTCTGCAGGACGCGTTGTCTCCATCTCCCCCATCTCTTTGATCCACAGAAACCCAATCTGTGTTCCAAAGTTCATTCCGTCTCTGACGTGGGAGAAGAAAAGTTGAGGGTGACATGAAGTGCAGAGTGTCACACAGGGTCGACCTGTTGACGTGTCGTCATGGATGTGTTCCGGCAGAATCCCACCCTCCTGGAGGAGAAGCCTGACACAAAATGATCAAATCATCAGAAGTGGTCGATCCACTTGACACAAGTAAGCCAACATCTGACACGCACCTGTTAGCAAGTCGAATGTTTACATGTGGTCTGGTAGACCCTGGGTCTGGGACACAGTCTGGGTGAATGTTGATAAAGTCCAGGGCTTCTTGTTGGTCCAGTGTGAAACAACATGCCCCAACTGACGGTCCAACTGCTACCAAAATGTCACTCGCGCAACAGCCATACTCCGATATCATGGCGTCCACTGTTGCCATGGCCACACCCATAAGGGTCCCCTTCCAGCCTGAGAAACAAAAAACAGATTCAGCTTTTAGTATCTCAATACACGGTCAACAGATTAATGCTGAGTCAGAATTTAAGCTTTCTTTGTAGCGTGACTGTTAACTCTCGGTTTAGTATTGTGGACGACAAAGAAAATCCTCGCACCAAAAAGCACAATAAATGCAAACAGAAGCAAATAGCAAAAAGTTTTTTTTTTTCAAATAGTCATGCTTTTTTTTCATCCTGGCTAGGTTTGCGACATTTATTAAAATATAATTTCACGTTTGTTATTTTCACACTGACTAGAGGGGCACTCGAGACTTGTGTACCAGTATCTGACTTATACTCCGGAGCGATAGTACAGAAAATGCGGTATTATTTGGGTTTTTTCAAATTGCAGAAATTAACAAACATTTCTGTTTCCTTCTTCTTCTATGGAAGAAAATTAGAAGTCCAACACCTGTCCATGAAAAACCAAACTTTAAATAAACATTTATTCAAAATTCCTCAGTATTGAAGATGGTAGATAGGTCTTAATCTAAATCAATTTTTATTCATCTGTGGTTAAAATATATCAGGGGTTATTTTGAGAGATAAAATAATTGTTTCCTTTATCTTTTCCCTAATCTATGGTTTGAGTCATAGTCAACATCTGCTACATTTTTTCCACGTTTCACGATTTGGATCACTTTCAGGGAAAACGTTCCTGGTATTTAATAATAATAATTAAAAAAAAAAACCCTTGATAATCTACCTGCGTGAGCAACTCCAATGACCTTCTTCTCCAGATCAGCAAACAGGATGGGCATACAGTCCGCCCCTGGAGCAGCCAGGACCACGCCCCTCTGATTGGTCACCATAGCATCATAGCATTCTGGTTCGGGCTTATTTAGGACCCAGACATCATTAGCGTGGTTCACCTGTGCCAAGGCGGCAAACGATTCAACCTTAATGGCCCGGTCTGTTGGTGTGGAATGCACTAAGGGTGGCATATTTCTGTACCTTGACCAGTCGAAGCAGTTTAGGGTGAAACCCTCCTGCCACCGCAAGACGGCGTCTGTTCTCCATCACCATGGCAATAGGGTCGCGCCTTTTGCTGCTGCAGAACAGGTTTAAGGATGATAGAGTCGGAATGTAAGAAATCCCGCCACAACGAGTACTGAAGCCATGACCGAAGGCATCTGAAGTGCAGAAGAAAGAAACAAAAAAAAAAAGTTATTTCTTATTTTATTTAATTGCAGGTGTTCTTATGCACAAAAAGAGGACAGCAGAGAAAGTTTGGGAACCACTGCTCTATTATGCTCAGTGTAAACAATGAGTCAAAATCCACAACAATGCTGTATTTTTTAGGTTATTTCTTATTTTATTTAATTGCAGGGAAAAAAAAAGAATACAAATTAAATAATATTTGTATTCGTCAGTGAGTCTCATGCAATAGGGGTTCACCATTCAACGAGATTTCAGAGAATCACGGTGCAATAGTGAAAGGCAGGACAATTAAATAATCTTCCACTGGGTGGCAGCAGATGGCTAGATAGATCAGCACCCAGGGTACTCACACCACACTTTGGGAATCCCTGTGGTAGATCTTTGCCTTTCTTCAATTTCTTGGAGTATATTGTGTTCAACAGTCCCAGGGTTTCACACTTGGCAATTCAATTGTGAGTGTAAAAGACCGTTATATTTAATTACATATACCTTTTGTGACAAATTTGTTTGGTGGTATGCCACGGAATTTTTGTAATGCAATATGGGCCGTGGCTTTTTGGAAACACTGTTAAACGTCACCATTTCAACTTTATAGCTGTGTCTGTTTCTGAATGAATTGTATATACATTTCATTTTATTCAGTATTTTACATGTTTTGTGTCCTCTCGGTGTAACATAATTTAATGGAGGATTTTTAACCAAATGCTATGTCGTGTGATTTAAATGTTTTATGTAAGTCACCTGGAATCAGCGATGACGTCAGCAACCTGATTCCTCCCCTCAGCGGTGGTAAACTCTGAAGGTAAGTCTTTACTTCTTCCTCCACTTCGTCCGGTGAGACGGTGTTGGCCACATCGGAACAACACGGACAAGTTACGTTACACAGCCTGTAGTCAAATGAGTAGAGTGACGTAAAAAGGAGCCGCTGCTGCTGAGTCAACAGCGCGCGCCCCCGCACGCTCGTGTGTACGGTCACGCGAGTTGCACCGAGCTCGTCTATTCGCTTCTTGAAGGCAACCATGCGCTCCGTCACATTGACTCCTTCGAGCGCGTGCGCGCCAACAACCTCAGAACTTGTATTCTCGCTTAACAGGAACACGCGCGACTTCAAAGAGTCCTCCGGTTTGAGGAGAAAAGAGGAGCAGAACGTGCAGGAACCGTGGACTAGTTCCAGTAATACCACCTGGTCCATTTGGTTATGGTTGCCCACCCGAGCCATGGAGAGGAGCCGAAAGAACTGTTTGAGACTGCAGCATGCCAGAAACAAGCGTGGGACTTCCTGTGTGCACGCGTATCTGGAACGAGGCTACGCCTACTGTGGAAACCCCACTCGTAAACTAACACAAACTTGAATACACACACTGGAAATTTTGCTCTAAGAAACTTCCTTGTGCAGTACACGCTACAATGCCGTCGCCAGCATTTATAGTTCCTTCATGAAGTTTTGAAAATGTACACTACAGTTCCTCTTTTCATCCTTTACGTTCCTGGCCTATTCAACTGGGTTTGGTTAGGTTTGCCTCTCCGTCACTTAAGTATTTAAATTTTCTCAATGCTTTAAATTTCTAATTTCTATTTCTAGGTAGAGTAAGTTCGGTGTATCAACTTTCTTCCGTCTCTGAAGGCCTGCATGTTTTGGACAAAGCCGGTCTCTCATCACAGAGCAGGTACTAACCTGGCGTTTTTTTTGTCTGTTTCAGTCATTTTAAATAATCATATTTTTTTAACTATGTATTTAATTTATTTTGAAACAATAAACTGTTTGGGTTTAATCGTTAAATTATCTTCTGTACCAACCCAGTTTTACAGGTCTGCAACCTACCAAAGTAAGATTTTTTTTTATTTTATTTTATATTTTCACAAGCACACAAATCTGTGCGTAAGAACCGTACTAGCATTTCCTGGCTCAAATTTCTCATCTCCAGTTTTTAAAACATTTAGACCAGGGGTCTCAAACTCAATTTGCCTGGGGGCCGCTGGAGGCAGAGTCTGGGTGCGGGTGGGCCGCGTAAGGGATTCCACAATAAAGTTTTTTTTTTTTAAAAAGTCCTCAAATGTTAACAGTTAGTTTTAATGATTTCTTCTGAACATGCAGTGTTTTGAACATGAAAGGAACATTGAGTGAAAATCATGAACGGTTCTTCTGAACATGGCTCCTCTTGCCTACTCCCTGCTGCCAGATACTTGACAGCGCTTCTTTTCACAAATCTGAACCACATTTGGCTTGAGAGAGGAAGCAGTTGAGACCCTCATTATGGCTTGAAGATGATCATCAGTAAGTCTAAGACCTGTACTTGGACTTATTGAAGTTCAGCTCAGGGATGTTGGGGGGGCAATTCTCTCAAAAATTGCCCATGCTTGTCTGCTTTTCCACTCATCTCCCTGAACTTGGCTTTGAGGTCAGAGTTGCATTGCAGGTCAATGAGCTCCATTTGAAACACAGGAGGGGCATCTTGCACATCAAAGGTAAAGGGATCCGCAAAAATTTGAAAAGTGTCTCTGTGCGTCTTGAAGTCTTGTGTAGCTTGTGTAGCTTCAAAATATCATCAACATATTGCTCTCTGAATGGTGTGCCTGCATCCACGAGTGTCTTGCATGCTGGGAAATGGCAAAGGTTTGTCTGAGAGAGCTGGGCTTTCCATAACACAAGTTTTGTGGAGAATGCTCTCACGTTGTCATAGGCAGCGCTGCCCCTGGCGTCATTTCCGGTTTGTGACGGAGCGTCCTTTAACCGGGAGAGCGCTTCCCGCTCTCGAGCCAGAGCGGGAGACGCCGGTCGGGGAGTGTCAGAACAGCTACAGGTGCTCCGTCACACGCTTCTACCTGTAACAGCAGCGTACACGATAAACAGCCCGGTAACAGTCGCCGTTCTTTTTGCGCTTCATCATGACATTCGTGGTAGAAAGTACGATAGATGGCAAGCGCAAAGGCGACTGCTGTCTGGCTGTTCATTACACGCCGTGCTGTTGTTGCAAGCGTGAAGTGCACGAAGCTGGTGTAGCCTAGCCTAGCCTAGCCCCGACAAGGGACAGCGCGCGGGAGCTTGCTGATTGACTCTTCGGAAGCCCACTTTCTCCGCGGGCCACACTGATATTATACCTTCATTTTAAGGTGAGGGGCCACAAAATATTGTACTGCGGGCCGCACTTGGCCCCCGGGCCGCGAGTCTGAGACCCCTGATTTAGACGTTTTTAAATGTTTGTTAGTTGGAAGGACAAGTTCAGGATCAAAAGTCGTACAATTGGACATTGAGTGTGTACCCAAAGACGTAATCTAGGCGACAGACGCCAGCAGAGGTCGCCAGAGGTTCATATTGCAATATTCGCTGTGGTCTGTCCTTTTTTAAATGATTGTTTTCTATATTCTTTTACCTCCATCCTTTATTCTACTGTTTATTTTTAACTAATTTTTATTGCATTTTACTTACAAAAAATATTAGAATTGTATACATATAAAAATGACATTTTAGAGTAAAGGAGAACATTTCCCTGTCCCCGCCTCCTCTTAATTCCAGTGTCTGTCTCTCCCAGTTTTTCAGCAGCAGAATCGTCTTCTCCCTCTCCTCGCGTCTCCTTCCTTCACCCTGTGCAGCCGCTGCTGATTTTCCCTCCCGATTCTCCGAGGTAGGAAACGCGCAAACACATTTACACTCACACGTTGTTTTTGTTTCAAAAATAATTCTTGTGATGAAGCGGTGCAGCTAATGGTTGGTCTGTGTTTACGTAAAATGACATATTTTTTTTTGTGACAAAAAGTGTTTTTTTTATGCTGATAATGAAAATGATGGTGGTGGTGAGGGAGACTGTAAATGGGTATGATGTTCTGTCACCTTGACTACCCCGCGACAGCACTCACACCTCTGTTCGTGTGTGTGTGAGAGAGTGCGTGTGTAAGCGCACGTGTGTGTGTATGTGTAAGTGCACGGCTTTTACTCCGGACCATCGCAGTGCTGGTCATGATATGAACATCCTCATCAGTTATAATGGTTAATGCAGAGACGGAACTTTGTTTCGTGATACAATTTTGATGGTGGAGCGCATTCAGGTTTCGTCATACACACTGCGAGAGCTTCATCGTTTGTGTCCCAACTCGGACACGTCGTCCTTTTGTGTGAGGTCTGTGTTTTGTCCAGAAGGTTTGACCCTCTATAATTTTGCTCCCTGAACCTAAAACCTTAAAAATCACAGACAGAGCGACGAATTGAGCAGTTGATTCTTTAATTAAATTTTAATCTTTAATTCTTTCATTAAAACTGGTTGGCCAGGATTTTTTTTTTCCAGGACTGGAATGGAATTTTATAGAATTTGTTGAGCCTTTGCGAAGGTTTGGTTTAAAAAATAGGTGTGTTTGTGTGTTTTAGTACGTACAACATGCTGGATGTTGTGGTTGGAAAAAAAAAAAAAGAAATACATTCAAATCAACATCAAAATGCATCAGCTGTAGGATCCTGCAGGCTGCAGGATTAAAAAAAAAAATGCTGGCAAACCATTTACTAACCACAGGAGGCTAGGGTATAGCACCAGCAGCTGCTGTGTCTCTGTAAGCTAAAATCACTGCATGTTTTGACAAATAGTCCAACACTGAGACAAAGATGTAAAGAGAATCTAAAGTTATAAGTTGTTTTTTTTTTTCTCAATCTTGAAATCTGAAAACCTCCAGGTGTAATGATGGCGGTTTTGAAGACCAACAGCTGGTTATTGATCAGGACTCCCAGCTGCCTCTCAGTCTGTCACTGTGCTGTCACTGTCAATAATAATAATAATGATGATGATGATGATGATGATTGTCGTCACCATCACCGTGTCTGGCTTCACTCTCCCTCAGTCTGTTATATTTAAGTTGATCCGATTAAGTTCATCATTTCATTGATTAGACTCCAACGACGATGCGTTCTTTGAATGACATTTCTTCACTCAAGTACAAAACCCAGAATAATTAGTAACACTCGTCCTGGTTCAGAACTGCAGTGTGTATCCATTAGTGATGGCAACTTATGTTAAATGGACAGTAAAGGAGCATCAAGCCTCCAGTCACTAGGTGGCAGCAACTCATACAGTGGTTTGTACGGATGAAAAAAAAGAAATGTTATCAGGTTCTCAATAGTAAATCATAGAAAATCATTAATAATAATTAATTAAAATAATACATTTTTTTTATTCATATAATTCTTACTTTTTACATTTCACATTTTCAGATGTGGCCCTTAATCATAAACATAATGTCTCAACAGTAATCTGCATTTCTTTCAACCTTTACTTTCTCGAGATGAGACATTCATTTTCAACCAGTATCCCATAATATTCAACAATGATTTGGATTAGTATTCACAATCAGGAAATACTTAATTAATTCCTAAATGGGAAATTATTGGTATTACAGGGAGAATTTACATATGTAGAAAAAAAAAACAAAAAACCAACAGATGCATATGAGTATTTATTTGATGTAAATTCTCTGAAATCCTGGTTTGGACAAATATTCCCTGACATTTAACCCCTGCTTCGGAACCAATATATGTTTTGGAACATTTTTTTTTTTCTTCTACGTAATTCAGACTTAAAGTCTGGTTTCAACAGTATGTCTTGGCATTTATATTGTCAGTTTAGTGTTTGTATGGTCTGGTCTAGAAATATGGATTGACCTGTGTTTTGGATTCAATTTTATTTTTGGACTTTTCTATGTTTATAATGTTCTATGATGATATTAAACACGTGACAGCCGAGTTTTACTATGTTGGTGGTGGGTCAGTGATGGTCCAGGCAGGCGTATCCTTGGGCGTGACAGCCGAGTTTTGCTATGTTGGTGGTGGGTGATGGTCCAGGCAGGCGTATCCTTGGTTAATTTGTATTTATGATCACATTTGCAGTGTATTCCCAGTTCCCAGAACTAGAATTATTGGGTACTTTACTTCCTAGAACAGAATTCCATAGTTAATTAGTCTTAGTTTGGAGCAACGTTCTTAGGTTTTTTTTTTTTTTTTTTTTTAGTTTCATTTTAAACAAGACGTCTCTGGTCTTTTTTTTGCATGAGTATTCGCATTCCGTATTCTTAGGTTTTTCTTTTTTTAAATTTTCATTTTAAACAAGAAGTCTCTGGTCCTTTTTTTGCATGAGTATTCGCATTCCGTTCAGTAAAAGTTCGTGCGGTTGAAAGTGGAGATACTGGATTGTTTTGTCATTGTCATTGATACAGAGGTAATGTGCATGTCTACTGGAGAAAATATAGCCAGTGTTTGATGATCAGCTCTCCCTTTTACTGGATTTTTCCCTCTCAGAGGCTGGGAGAAGGTGTAGCCGTGGCAACAGAGATGTCTTTAAATCTGTGTGTGTGTGTGTGTGGTATGTGTGGGGAGAGAGAGAGAGGGAGAGAGAGAGAGAGAGAGAGATGGGTGGGGGATGGTGTGTAAAATGAAAGTGGTGTCACGGAGCCTAATGGAAAGATTGAGATGCTGCAACTTATCTCTCTCTTGCTCACTCTTTCTTTCGCTCTCTTCCGTCCGACTCTATCTCCCCCTATCTCACACATAACAAACACACAGAGATGTTAACCAATTGTTAACAGATTGCCCGATTTTTACGGTCCGCTAAATGATTATGGTATGCTAAATAATAAGGGTGTTCAGAGTAAAGCTGTTTTGTTTCGTTTTTTTTGTCTGTTTGTCTGAACCTGTGATTGTTTGGAATTGTCATTTATCTACAGATAAACTGATGGTTGTTATTATTTTAACAGCTACGTGTCTACATAGGTTTTTGTCATGGATTTTGGATTTTTTTTTTTTTAGTTTTTAGACCACAGGTGTCAAACTCAGGCCTGCGGGCCAAATCTGGCCCCTAGTGTAATGATATTTGGCCCGTGAGATCATATCAAATCTGGGGAGGATCAGTATTCCATAATATTCGATTTTCGATTTCGATTAGTTTTCACAATCAGAAATACTTAATTATCAAATGTATTAGAACTGGCCCGCCATTATATAGCCAATATATAGCCAATATATTCTGGCAGGTTTTTCAGTGCAGTGGAACCTCGAGATACGAGCGTCTCGACACGCGAGTATTTCGAGATACGCGCAAGCCATCGAGTACATTTTTGCTTCGGGATACGAGTAAAGACCCCGAGATACGAGCACGCTTGCAGACTGCGACGCTAGGTGCGGCAGCACTCGCTCGTTCACGTGTTCGTCGACTTCCGGACGCATCTCTCGCGATATCTTCTGGATTGTGTTTGCGTTATCCACGTGCTTTTCTCTTTATTTTGTGCACTATTCTTCATAATAGTGATGAGTCCTAAGAGAGTGAGTGGTAGGGATGGTAGTGAGAAGAAGAAACACATGATGACCATGGAAACACATGGCGCCATTTTAGCCACTACTGTATTAGTCTGGCTGTCTCGAAAGTAAGAACTCATTAAAACCGCATTTTATTTTATATCACAGGAATCCTTATATACTATAATTTTTTTTGTGTGTGTGTGTGTATGTCTCTATAGCAATTTAAAAACATGTTATTTCCATTGTTATTAGCACTAATAAGCGTCCGGAACTGATTCATTATTTTATTGTTATTTCTTATGGGAAACAATGATTCCAAGGTACGAGCACCTCGAGTTACGAGGGGTTTGTCTTCTGCTGGTCTTTGCATCATACCATTGTCAGTCCACATATGGTACAACCATTTTCTACAATTGTTGTTCATTAACACATTTTGTTTGTCCAAAATGTTGCTTTATTTCCCCACAACCTTGACATGTCCGTAGCCATGGATTATCTATGATATTTTTTATTATTTCACTCTTTGAGCCTCATCCGTGTGACACCTGAGGGCAGGTGTTTGGACGGTGAAGGATGAGGGTTTATTCAAGAAGGGGAATGTTTAGGAGGAAAAGGGAGAGTCATTACAGCAGCCAACTGGAGAAACAATACGTTAAACAGACTGGTGCTGCTGCAGCGCTTTTTGTGTGTGTTTGTGTGTGTGTGTGTGTGTGTGTAAGGCAGTAATGGCTGCTTGCATCTTTCGCTCAGCTGCATATCCTCTCGCATAATTCCATTAGACATCTTCCTGTCCCCTGCAGCTGCTTTTCACACCACACTAAATCTTTCTACCATCTACCCATAATCCTCCACTCCTAGCTCCCCTAGTGACCACAAGGGAAACAGGAACCTGATTCTGTCCCTTAGTGTGGAGGCAGTCGCACGACGCCGTCAGTTTTTATCTAAAACATGAATTAAAACCCAGATGTTAAATGTGTTGGGTTTCAGTTTGGACTGTCTGGTCAAATTATTGTCTGACCAAGCGTCGTGTCATGGCTTAAAGGATTTGAAANNTAGTTTAGTGTTCTCTTTAGTGTTAAGATTGACTTCTTGACATTTACATTTTAGCTGCTTTTCTTTTGTAGAAGTTGTTTTAGTAGAAGTTTTGTTTTTGAAAAATTTGCCTCAGTAATTCCTAAAGCATTTGGCTAAGTTTTCATAATTAAGTTTACATTTGCTGATTCCCCTAGCTCAGTGGTTTTTAAAGTGCGAGCTGCCGCCACCTGGAGGTGCACTAGGGTGCCTCAGAAAATTGGAATAATGATAAAAAAATAAAATGCAAACAAAAATTATATTATAAATTTTACCTGAAGA